CACTGGTATTATATTTGTTGTCAGAATGATTTACAAACCAACCGTTGCTTCAGCTAGCTGATAGACGAAGCTATTGTTAGATGCCTCTGGCATTTTCCATTGTGAAAATCCCTATGTGGACAAGCAATGTAGAAACCTATGTAGTAAGCTCGATGTTATATTCTTTTAAGAGTTATATATTCGTTTAAGATGTTATATTATCTAAGAGTTATATTTAAATGTTGGATTTTTTCGTTTAGTTTAACAGTAACGTCATCAGTAAAATAGTTCTTCCTGTAATAACTACTTATTTAATATTTTAACCGTCAAACTTTATTATCAATGTAAATTATACCCTCTAGATCCTTGTTGGCCATTGTTATAACATGGGAAAATGTCACAATTTTTCGACCATTACATAAACTGTTCGTTGGACTTCATAACCAAATACCTTTTGTGGGAATCGCATAAGACTGACTTAGTATAGACGAAAATTAAAGATTTATAAATAAAGTAAAAACCGTACACTAAAGGAGTTGTCTGCTTCCTTTAAGGAGTTATGCATCCCATAAAATTAAATGCAGATGCATTTATAAGGTTTCTGTATATATATATATATTTTTTTTTTATATGTGAAACTTAACTATTATTGTTTTAAATGCGTTGCACTGTCACAAAACAGTGTTTTGATAACTACTAATTTTATATTAAGTAGTCTATAGCTCTTAATAATAATTATAGTAATAATTATTATAAAAAACCAAATATTAGGAAACAGAAAGATTTAAATTGAGTATTTTAAAGCCTTTAAAACTGTGTTATGTAAGATAATCTTTCACTTTCTTTTAGAAAAACATTAGGTTGTATAAAACATTAGTAGTATTGTATAAAATACCAATCTAATGCATTCCATTTGTTCACAGGTAAGTAGCTAGCTGACTAAAAATGACGTAAGTACTTGGGATATTTGAAAACTGTTTGGTGTGTGCTAGGAGTTTTATAATTCGCATGCTCAAGAAGTAGTATAATATAACCTTAACATCAAAAATATGATACGTTAATCGCCCTTACGGAAATATAATCTGCAATCATCATTATTTGTTTGAAAGATCCAAATTGAAGGCTTCCTTAATTTTACATTTGCAAACTATTCAATTTGATTCTTACAGAGCAAACGTCACCGATTTCAAAATTCTCTGTTGTTAGTAATTATTTTTTGGAGCCATGTGAAGTATGTCTTAATTTATAGATTGAGTGCAAGTTTTGATTTTGAACAGTAATCTGTTTCTTTGTTTGATGTAGTTGTTAAAACAAAAAAACTATATATAAATAGTGTTATAAGAAAAGAAAACTGTCCAATGTTACGATTGAAACAACAACATTAGTGAAGAGGCAGCTTTAATGTGGCTGTTTATCTTCTACTAGAGATTTGCAGGAGATATTACAGCTGATTGTTCTTGGGTCGACAACAACAACAACAACACTTTAGTAAAGATAATTTGTTGTCGTTACAAAAATGCATTATATAGTGAAGAGACAGACAACGTGGTTGTTGTGTCTTCTACTAGAGATTTGCAGGAGACATTACAGCTGATTGTTCTTAGAACGACGACGACAACAACAACAACATTTTAGTAAAGATAAATTGTATATAGTTGTTGAAAAAACTGAACTATATTAGTGAAGAGACAGACAACGTGGTTGTTGTGTCTTATACTAGAGATTTGCAGGAGACATTACAGCTAATTGTAGTTGAAACAACAGTAGCATAGTGAGAGACAGCGAGACGGCTACTAGGGGTCGTGTACAGTTCAGAAACATCAAAACATCAAAGAAACTATCCTAAAACCACAGACAAGTAAAGCAATATTTAATTTGTTTGGCTATGCTAAAACCAAGATTTATTATGAAGAATAGTTATTTGTGCAACTAGTGAGCAAAATGAGCGATTACCTCACTCGAGAGAAATCCTTACTCATGAGCCGTAGGTGAGTAAGAGATGGTTTCTCGAGTGAGGCGATTGCACTTTGCACTCGAGTTGCACATTATATTTTTCCTACAGTTACCATAAAACAAATAAATTGGTAAAGAAACGTGCCTTCACGTTGCAAATCTGGAGTGAGACAATGTTAACATTGTCTCACTGATGAGCGAATTGGCTACTTTGCTTTCTCAATTCAGTGAGAGAACATGTACATTGTTAGGTAACTGTAGAAAAAATATATTATTACAAATTTCTTATAACTAAGTAAGCGCTTTGTTTCTTTGAAGCTAACCGTTCCATTACTAGGTAGATTTTTAGTTCAAAACTTCGATACAGTGACACATCAAAGCGTGTATATTGTTCACGAAAAAATCTTACGATTTGCTCCACCTCAATCTTAAGGTGGGGTGAAGAATTTAAACCTTGGCGTGCAACGAGCAATAAAAGTAGCGACCGGAAATTAGAGCCAAATATATGACCGGAAACGCTCAATACAACAGGGGATGTAGCGTGTAGCGAGGCTGCGGTGAAATATGGCGAAACTGCTGAAGCATTCTCCTCCTTGGTGAGGTGCAAAGATACTAGGATAAATACATAAACTTTTATTTTATATCGTTTTTGTCAATACCAAAATTAATTGTTACGTTATTATCAATCGTTAATAGTAGTTTCTAAAGATACCTAAATTATACCGTAGTCTAAAGGCGTTACGAAACTAGCCTTTTCTGTTTAGAGATTGTGAATGTCAACCAAAAGCAATTAAGTTATAGCTTTAAAGTAAATGCAACACAAAAACAATCGGTGGCTGTGGGAATGACAGTTGAGTGACAACCGTGAAAATGCTTTATCTCGCTTGTCTGTCACCGAGCAGTCAGCTTGAAATTTCTTTTGGAAACTATTAAAGAAAAATAATGTTTTTAATGCTAAAATCATTCAAATCCGTTATAAGAGTGTTTATTGGCACTTTAAAGGTAAATTATCTATTTATTACATTTACTATTGTTAATTAAAATCACATTTAAATAAAACATAGGATCAAGACTACAAACAATGGTCCTAAACCAAAAGAATTTACCTGTAGCTTATTCAAGATAAGGCAAAATTACTAACGCCCTTTTGAAGGTTCATATAAACAAGATATATTCGTCTTTTACGATCATTAATCATCCTACGTAATCATTATTATCTTAATAAAGCATAGATAATTCTAAAATCAGCAGGACAGAATATTAAAGGGGGGCATTCAATACAAATTCTATTAATACAAATTATAAATATGTAGCTCATTTTATAAGACTAGTATTTATAACATTTACACAACCAAGGATAATATGGAGTTATTTATGTACGCAAGAAAACTGTTGAGGGTTTTTTCGATTTTCTTCTTTATCGTGCGAAATAATTGTTGTGAATTAATGTTGTATTTTAATATTTAAAACCCGAGATCTAAGTACACGTTGCAGGTACTCTTTTAGAGTGTTGTTTGGTGAGTCGTTGGCTTACTTGACAGCGTACTGTGTAACTATGGCAGCGACTTTATCGGTTTGCACCCCGATCTCTCTACTTACTTAATCTTAATACTTATCAGTACAGTTATTTCTTGTACTGTTCCTTAATATCCCTTACTTTCCCTGACACCTTTCATACATAGCACACATTTCTAAGCTGTGTTACCGGGCAAATCCAAGGTTGAAAGAGGTAAGTAATAGTCTTTTTATCAAGCAAGGTATAGACAACTGTACATTATGTATCTAAACCCACACGTAACACATGTAACACACAGAAGTGTTGTGATGATTATCATGACATCAGGGAAGTATCTTGCATGTAGTAATCACTTCCCTGAGGAGTCAGATATGATCAGGGAACTCTGCTCCCAGAGCCAAAGGTTAATTCATCCTTCCACTTTGTACCGTGATTTATCATACAACAACACATTGTCATAGACACCTCGTCAAGAAATCTCGAATTTCTTAGATTTTAGCCTTGAATTCTCCCACCCGCAATTATTTCATGATTAAATGGATTGTATCAAGCAAGGAATCAACCAGTTCAATACGACTGTGAACTATACTTATAAAGTTTATGTGGCGGTGCCGGAACTCATTATATCGCTGCTTTGGTGCAACAATACATCGCGGTACTGAGAAACCGACAACCTAATACTTCAGGCTATGAAAAACTGAATTTGCAATCGAATTGGTATTATAACATTCGTTCTATCTCATGCCGTTTTCGGTCTATCTGTCTGTATGTGATCTTCACAAAAACATTCATAACTCCTCAACTGTTTGAGCTACAGCGTTGAAATCATGTAAAAATGTTGATCTTATCCACTATGTTTGTACAAAATATGAAAAGCAAACTTTTAAACCATTTATAAATGGCAGCTTTCAAAAATGTGTAATGAAAATTCCATGAAAACTGTACCTTTAGTTTTCTCTACTAAACAATGTTTAAAGTAGTGTTATCAATTTAACATTCATTGTTTAAAAATAGAGAAAACCTGCTGCTAACCATAGGTATGGCAAGAAAAAAATTATTTCTCAGTTATTATTTGTCCAACCTAAGCTTATACGATATAGTTAAGTATTCTACATAAAATTTACTACATTTTACATATCTTAAAAATATTTTGTAAAATTAACTCTGTTCGTGAAAGTTTTTACTAACTATTATTAAAAGCCACCATTTTTAAACGGTTCAAGAGTTTTTATTCATATTTTGCTAAAAAATAGTGGTCAATAAGATAAACATTTTTACAGAATTTCAACGTTGTAACTCAAAGCAGTAAAGGAGTTATGAATGTTTAAAAATTACATACAGGCTGATAGACTAAAAACGGAATGATATAGGGCGTGTTATATTTCATTTTTTTTTTTTTTTTGACATGCTGAGTAAAGTGCCAAAGTTTGTCCATATGGTTGCAAGACACTCTGTATAAAATATATGATGATAGTTATATCTAAATAATATGATATACATAGTTTAACATCTGATAAAGTACGGTTTGGCTTTCACTGGTGTGGAGCTAGATATTTGAACGTTATCAACCTATCAAACGCAGATGTGTAATTTTTCAATGCAGTAAACATGGCGCATCTGACACATTTCTAATAGTTATCTTCTCCAACTTTTACACATCAAGTTAAGCTTACAACAAACTGTGAAGTGTCTTCGGTTACAAGCAAATGATGAGAGCTTCGATTGTTCTGTTGGCGTTTCTGAGTAAGTAATTACTATTCTATTTAAATTATTTGTTAAAATTCCCCCACTATCTAAATTAATTTTAATCTAAGAAAAATCAATCCGTAAAAGAAAAAATACCATGCCGATACTAGATTGGTGCAGAGACATAAGACTGTGTGGTAAAATCATTACTTTTTCTTAACTAAACAAACTTTCTGAAATAGAAAAAAGTGAAATAGAAAAATTTTAACATATTTTAAGTATAAATAATAGTAGCTATAATTTAATTTGGCATTTTCCGTGATTTATTTGCACGTCCATTTCAATAGCTATCATCGTTATCAAAACTGAATAAAATACAAACTTTGAAACCCGGAGTTGCCCGAGTCAAAATACAAGGCACGGTAATAACCACATCATAGAATATTCCAGATCATTCTAAAAACTCTTAAATATTGTGAAACCATATATTGTCACGCACACGCATATGACAGTTTGTTTTGAACGTTCAACTTTCGTAAATGAACATAGCCTTATTTAAGACATATTTCACCCTAATTAAAACACCTATTTTACTAATGCAAATAAAAGTGAAAACAGGTTTATTTCAAGTTCAGTTTAAGTTAATCAAAATAGGAGTAAAAGTTTTTGCCGACATCCGACATCAGAGAACATAAACAAAAGCACGTATGAAACAATTGTCACAGAAGCCCTAATATTTTACATAAGGATGCGAAGTCTACTTGCAGTATCCAAAGTCAATGATAGAATAAAAGACAAGTAGTAGTTACCTCTTTCTAAAAACCTTGTATTAATTTGAAATTATGATTTCTTGGGGCTTGGACAACAAAACAAAAAGTTTACAAGAATTAGCTCCATTAAATTTGTAAAAAAGGAACTCCTTGTTTTGAAAAATTCTCTATTTTAACGCAAATCTAAATTGTAAACAATAAACTGTCAAATAACTCTCTAATCATTCCTTCAAAATAAGAATCTTGAACATCCGTCAAGTAGTTGGTTAAGAATTTTTTGGCTGAACCCATTCGCGTTACAATATAATGAGGCTTTGTGTAATGTTACACTAATACAAGGCTCTTTAGACACAAGCCCATAACTGAATCGTTTGATAATTTGAGGATTGCCAACCAACACGTTGTTTATTTTGAGAAAAGCCTCGGTAACTGAGGTTAATATTGTTGCAATTCATTTTCGAGGCATATGTAATCAGTTAAATTTTAACGTTTAGCTATTGTAATAAAAGGGTTTGCTACACATAACATGTAAGGGTTGATTTATCAGAACTGGCCTCTTTATTAACGTTTATAAAACATGTGTTTTTTGTTGTTACTTCCGTTATTGCGGGATTGGCTGACTTTTAATAATATGCATACAACAAGGGCTGATTATTTACGTCGTTAAATAATATGGGTATCGTAATAATTATCTTATCGACCTTTATTTTATTGTTAATTTAATCATTTTAATAAAACCATATATGCAATGTGAGGATAAAAAGTATCAATAAGGTTTGAAGCCAGTATCTGTAATTCAGGGTGTTTTTAAAAGAATGCTGGGATTTCAAATGGTCGTTGCTCGGGGACTATTCAAGATAATTAAACTATTTAAAGGTCAAATTGAAGGGAAAAGAATAACGTTTTTTCTCATTCTTTCATACAATCCAGAATGATTTGGTAAAATTCAGATTTGCACCAATCTTATATGAGCGTAAAACTGGCAAAGTCTGTACGCTTGGGGCGATCGGTGGGTTTATTTGATGTCTTAACAGATTTTTTTTCGGCACGAAGACTCTACCTTTTATAGATTAAACCTTAAAATGACGAATTTAGGTTTGTTCAACTGATTACTTCGTTGGGCAATCGATTTTTCAGGGCTTCTGATGCAGAATTGTCGGATTCCTTCGACTATGTCATTGCTTGTTTTTAGCCGGCCATGTGTTGTCTTTTCAAAACACTTCGATGCCACGAAACTCATTAAACCAGCTTCAAGTTTCTTTATCATCAAGTAGATTTAAATTTAGTTCAATTTAGCAATTGATATAAACTCTGCGAACTACAGTATACATTCTGTGCCTTTTGTTGCGCCAGGCGTATGAGTCACAATAGCGGGCCTGTCACCCCGCACCTGTTTTACGTATACCCAGGTCAAAGATTCCTACCTTGATACACGGGAAACAAAACTTAGTTATTTTAGCTTCAATTTGACGTACAAAACGTTTAGTTACCTTGAATAGTATCCAAGCAATTACCATTTAAAATAGTGGCATTCTTTTAAAAACACTTAATTATTTGTTTACATTATTTTAATTTATGTTAAACAGGTATAATCATCAGATCAACAGGAGGGGTGACTTGTCCTGCTCCGTCTCAAGAGCAGAACCTCTTCGGCCACCCCTCGACAGGCAAAAACTACGAACCTTGCGTACAATGTGTTCAAAAGTTCTTGTTTAGTCTCCTCATGCGTCGGACAGGTATTTGCGAAGACCCAGCCTTTCATTGCAAGAGGTGCAGGTTCTCCGCAGTAAACGATGAATACTTCTGCATTCCGAGGAAGGGGAGTGTAGGAAGCGGGTGTGACGGTGTCGACATTGCAAAGTACACAAAACCCGTACAAAGAAACCCCTCAAAATGAGACATGGATGAATCAGTACATGTACAAAAATCAATTAAATGATCTGATAAGGATCTCAAAAGTTTTTGTTATTTCAATATTCACATACAAGGTTTCATGGACAATTTACTTACAAGTACATATTTGAATTTTTACCTGAAAGTACAAAACATACGTCAAATAAAACTTGTAATAATATATTTACCATGATACTGTTTACTCACAAGACGGTTAATACACATAAAGATGGTAAGTGGTGATCGATTTCGATTGGACACTCCAATCATCATCAGACCCAACAGGCGAATGACAAGAGTTTCAATGACGTCACTTATATACTATTGGCTTCCGCCAATAAGTTTCTATAAGTACAACTGGAGTCAAATCTCACTTCTTCATTAATTAGCTTATTTCTATTTTTACATTTTTCCTTGTAAAGTTACAAAAAATTTAAAAACAAATTGTAGTAGGCCTATTTAATTATTTACCTATTTCATATTTTATTCATTCACTTACCTTTAGCTGCATTATCCATATTGATGAAATATAATATTTTCATAAATTTTTGGTATAACTTATAATTTCAACGAAAATGGCCTCTGCCAAAAATTCATGATCCTACTGTGAATTGACAAACTAAAACTTTAACAATCCAGCTTTGTTCAGCATAAAATATATGACGTCGTCAAACATTTGGTAATGGATACGAAAGCAATATGTTGGCGGCGTGGCTAGGATAAGATAAGAACAGAAGAGTGCACCCATGCCTACCAACTCTCTCCGGAGAGCTCTCTGGACCAGGTGTCTGATTCAGCAAGTTTAACCTGGGGCCAATCGGTGAATTTGAGTAGGGGATGACAATCCCAATTTTTGACTGTGTGATGTATTTCCGATCTTACTTATTAAGGATGGACAAGGCTGTGCCATCCAATCGCATCTACTGCCCAAGCACTCCCGATGACGTAGATCACACTCCTTCCAACGCCCGTGTTGAGAAAGGCACTGTTTGGAGTATCATACCATAGAGGACTGTTGACGGTGGACATGGTCATCTCGATGATGACGGAAGGTAACAAAAACTGGTCCGGGGTATTCTCAACGCAAAGAACATCAATCTTGATCATTGCGATCTCTAAGGGCTTAGTTTGTGTGTAGACCTAACCTGATTAAATATTACAAAAAATCTAAGGTATGTAGAGACATTCACAGAGTGTACTGATGTAGAAATTATATTTACTTCCATAGTTTTTGTTGCTAATTAGTAAAAAATTCTATAGCTTAAGATAAGATACCCTTTTATCTCGGTTGAGAATAGTCGGGTTTCAATAAACCAAGAGATTGAAATTAATACACTTTGCCGCTGGATTAAAAAATCTACTTAATTTTTTTCATAACACTGCTGTTACTTTAAAACTGAAATGAAAAGCTTAGTACATAGTCAAAGGTAATACTATATTTTTGGTTTACCTAGGATTACAATAGCAAAGTATTTAGAAACCTTTTACACAGGAGTGTAGAAATATAGTAAATAATTTTTAATTGCACAGCCTTGACACCCTTAATTTTAAATTATAATATGAAGATCTATTTTACTAACATCATAGAAAAAACATACTAGTCTGTGCTAACATTACGGTGTCAGAAGTATTTACTTCGTGCTGAACATGTCTCAAACTGACGTCAGTTCATCTTCAGCAGAAATTCATTAATTGAACAAAAGTCACATCGCACGATGCTTGAAGGATATTTACACACGAAAATATGCATAGCAATAAACAATTAGCACATTGGTATTTACAAGTATTGGCGTACGAACGATAAACATATCAATAACGGTCGAGATTTATAGGCCAACTGGTACAAAAAATTTGTTGCTTGACATACCAATAAGGGTTGTTCTTGATGCTGGTAGAAGTGGGTTATCTTCTGGCCGGCTCAGTACAATGCACTTCCTTGTACATTAAAAGCATTGTCTTGCAAAAAATGTAAGACTCGCCTAAAGAATTTGTAATTTAATCTTTTTTGTTTCGTTGTGTTAAGAATGGTTGTTTAGTTCTCACTTGAGTCGATTTGTAAAACAGTTTTGTTACTGAAATTCGCTCATGAATAGAGACCTCATTTATTTATTTAGTAGTAAATAATTTTCACGTCTTAGAAAGGGAGAGAGTGACCCTAACCTAGTGATTTTTGGTTGTCTGAGAATGTAGCTGGAAACCTTCAACCCCATGAACTCCACTGATCGTTAAATCTATGCCTATGGGTGTGGTAGGATTCAGACCATGATAATTTAAGTTGCGTGATATGAGTAAAAGCATATACAAGTAAAATAAGACGTATCTCACAAATGGTCTTGAATTTATTTAGAGCATATCAAATTTAAAAATTAAATGGGTATGAACGAACACTACCACAACCCCTTCATAAGTTTAGTTCACACAATATATAATATTAACGTTGAATATTTTCATATTTTGCATGTTTTCATCTGTGATAGCAACATCACTTTAACACTTTGTCATGCATAATTAAAGTCAACTGTTAAATGACACTTGTATAAAAAATTCCACACGTATGGTTGATTTAAGTTGAGTTGAAGTTTATTGGAATAACTATGTATTACTCTATCGTGCTTTTAGTTCTTGCAAGTAAGTTTGTTATTCACATTATTTTATTATTTTAATTGTTAAGACACATTTACGGTTTCATACAATTCCTATTTTGTATAGGTACCATTTTGTTTTTTCTTCGCATTTTCTTTTGTACATTCGATTCAATCTTATTCAAATTAAATTGCCTTTTTTATACATCAATATTAATATGTAAGGTGTTAAAAAAGTCTGACCCAAAAATAAATTAAACGGCTTAAAATGAAATTTTGCAACTTTTTTCAAGAAATCCAAGTTTTGCCCCTCACAACCTTTTAGGGTAAAGACCCATCTTGTGACCCCTCATTTTAAAGGTCTTGTTAAGAGAAAGCGTTTGGTTTGATTGCAAAATGGATTTGGAATAAAAAAATCCAACACCGTCCGTTACAGATACGAAATGTAAGCATGTTTTGTTTTAGGCTATACAGAAGTTGATTTTGATGTTTAAAGTTTTTCTCAACAGTTATCTGAACTCTTATTGTCATTATTAGGAATAAAACTGCATGGTCAGATTAAAATGTTCGTTGTATTTTGATTTATTGTTGACCTAGTTTATGTAGGTAAACATTGTTTTTTAAAACACAAAATGACCATAAATACTATGAAATAAACTCCAATCCCTAGTTTCTAAGAATGATTAATTTCTACTTATGTTCAAAGAGATTCAACAATAACTTTTCTAACAACAATGCATATTGTTACATCAGCTGTTCTTAATAGTTTATATGTGATTTCATTTGTATTATTGTTTGTTTTTGAGTTGAGATTCCAATGAGTTATTAAATTTGTGTTTAGTTGTCAAATGTTATTCATTATCATTTGTAATCCACTGTACCAAATTCACTTTTAACATTTCTTTAATCCCATATGCCCTTTTGCATTTTAAAGTGTTTTAGGCAGCTATTATATACAGTATGGTCGTAAACAGTTTTCAATTACTCCAAACGTTTTCTTTTAACAAGACCTTTAAAATGAGGGGTCACAACATGGGTCACAACCCAAATGACCCATATATACCTTAATAATGCCCTTAAGGTTGTAAATTGTGAATTGGGGGACATTTGAAAATGTGGAGTTTTCCCCTATCCACCCTGGAGGTGGAGGGGGGCAAAACTTTGATTTTTTGCAAAAAGCTAGAAAAGTCATCATATAATGATATTTTTAAGCTGCAACATTTTATCTTAAGCCGCTTAATTTATTTTTGGGTGTGTTAAGATTTTTTCAACACCCTGTATGAGGCTGCCATCACATTCCTCTCGCGCTCGCACGAGTTTGTAGTGCTGACTGCTTTAAAATACGGTGGTAGGCGTATTCTCTTATTACTTCCCTGTCAACAAAGTATTCGTTCATCCATTCTTCCCTAAATAGTTCACTATCCACTACTAAAAACTTCAAAACACTATAATACACTATAATACTTTTGCATCAGCACTGACTGCAGCAACATGCGAGAACTTGCCAGCAATATGAACACCCCAAGTCGTGCGAGCAAGAGACTCGTGTCACTTAATACTCGTGCGAGCGTGCAAGAAAGAGGTATGACTCGTGTCACTTAATACTCGCGCGAGCGTGCAAGAAAGAGGTATGACTCGTGTCACTTAATACTCGCAAGAGCGTGCAAGAAAGAGGTATGACTCGTGTCACTTAATACTCGCGCGAGCGTGCGAGCAAGACGTATGACTCGTGTCACTTAATACTCGCGCCAGCGTGCGAGTAAGGCGTGTGACTCGTGTCACTTAATACTCGCAAGAGCGTGCAAGAAAGAGGTATGACTCGTGTCACTTAATACTCGCAAGAGCGTGCAAGAAAGAGGTATGACTCGTGTCACTTAATACTCGCGCGAGCGTGCGAGCAAGACGTATGACTCGTGTCACTTAATACTCGCGCCAGCGTGCGAGCAAGGCGTGTGACTCGTGTCACTTAATACTCGCAAGAGCGTGCAAGAAAGAGGTATGACTCGTGTCACTTAATACTCGCGCGAGCGTGCGAGCAAGGCGTGTGACTCGTGTCACTTAATACTCGCAAGAGCGTGCAAGCAAGGCGTGTGACTCGTGTCACTTAATACTCGCGCGAGCAAAGAGATCGCAGCCTCATGCTTCCACCACCGCAATCCTCTACAATAAGCGAAACTCCATTTGTCTGATTGGATTTTCACTACAATATTTCCCTAAACCGATCAAATTTATTCCCTTTTTAATTAACACTATGTTCAATTACCTACTTTCACTAGTACTTTTTTTTGTTGTTACAGGGAAGACATCCAATAGGATTTTTAGTAAAATGTTAACAGCTTATTATAAAATAAATACATTCGCCTAGTTGAATCTAAATATTTACATATAGCTTACTAGAACCACTTTTCTTATTCTTCATAGAGGATTTTAAATTTACAGTTTTAT